GTCCTCATTTTACCCACCTCGGAAGGATGGAAGGCTGAGTCAACCTTGAGCCTGGTGAGATTTGAACTGCTGAACTGCAGTCAGCTGAAGTAGCCTGCAGTGCTGCATTTAACCACTGCGCCATCTCGGCTCTGATTGCCATGTTTCCCGAGGAAGAATTCTTTTTAAAAACTGGAAACTTGCCTGCTTTATTAAACTTCATTTGATTTGCTAATAATATTGCCTCAAATGTATTTTGCAATCGGCATAAAAAAATTGCACACTGTTTCCATTCATCAGTGGATGAGCCTGGTGGTTTATTTGTAATCCTTGCGTTCGTACCAAGAACCACATTCCAAGCTGTAGGAATTTTTATTGTCTTCCTGCTGCTGGTTTAAACTGTCATCCAGGAAAGTCATTTCCTTGATTTGCCTGTCGTGTGTTCCCAAGGGACACATGCACATGAACACATATAGACGCAGGTACACCACACAATAGCACATATGGGGAGGGAATGATAGAAAGAAATGTGGTGTGACATTAAAATACAAAGAAATGAAGAGAAACATTAGAAAGTACCTGTTGTGTCTATCGTAAAAATGCCTTTTTCAAACCTGATATTTTTTTCCCCTGCGTTTCTTATTTCTACTATGCTGCATTTATCCTACAAGGTGTAGATGAGTCTTACTCGTGTTTTACAGATATCCAGAGTCTTGTCCATGGATTGTCACTTGCCCTACCAAATTACAGTTTAATATTCCTGACAGGTTGAGCTGAATTTTAAAAAAAAACCTGTTTTGCTCCTCAGAGATGATCTGCTTTCCTTGGGGAATCACATCTGATAAATTAAGTTTAGAAGGTGCTGTGTGGGAGGAAAAATATACAGGGTGGCTATTTCAGCCAGTTGTGAACAATAGTATAGGAATCCACCCGTTCTCGTTTTAGGATTTTTGTTATTGTAGAAGTTATGAGTCCAAAACCTTTGATCTAGTCAGCAACCCTTTGTGACGATCAACATAAAAATCTACAGATTCTAGAATGCTGCTAGATTATCATTTCATACTGATAATTTCAGAGGCTAAAAAATTCTACTTTTTTCCAAAGCTTTTATGTTCTTTAAACTTTGGTGTGGCCTTTATTGTTGATTCTGGCCGAAGATGAACCTGGTTTTAAGAAATCTGTTTGGATTTCAAGTTTTGACCATGGTGCTGGTCAGATATTCTCAGTGGTGGGTTTCAAACATTTTCTAGAACCTCTTCTGTAAATGTGGCCTGTTTTGTGGGAGTGGCTTGCTGGTCATGTGACCGAGTGGGAGTGGCTTTGGCAGTCATGTGACTGGGTGGGCATGGCCAACTTGTAAAAT